TGGGGCACCTGGTGCTGGCCACTGTCGGCAGACAGGATACTGGGCTAGATGGACCTTTGGTCTGACCCAGTACGGCCGTTCTTATGTTCTTATGTTCTTAGCAGAACACGGCATCTTTCACGCGGCAGGACTGGAGGCAGGGACCGGGGAAACTCCGATGCAATTTCGGCTTGGTCTACACGAGCTCTTTTGTTCTCCTCCACAGGCTGAGACAAGGCTTTGTCTACACTGCAGAGTTTTGGTTCTGTCCCTGGGGTGTGTCCAGCCAGCCAAAGACAAGGGCCTGCTGGTTTCCTATTGTTTTACAGATTCCTCCTTTTGCATGGGAAGTTACCTGGCCTGTCCCTACCTGCTAGGCTGAGAAGGGAGCTGCGCAGATGGGGGAGACGTGGGCTTCTCTGAGGCGTCTGATGTCAGTGGGAACCTGCACCCTCTGCCATAGCCGCAGAGCTCCCGGAGATGAACCGACGTGGTCACTCCCACATCCCAGCCAGCTGGGGGCCATGGGCCCCTGTGAGCCAGTGGGGCTGTGTCCAGCGGGGCCCTGCAGCGATCACTTGTAGGCCTCGTGCCCTTCCATCGCTTTGTCAATGGGCAGAGGCACCCCCAGTTCCTCCAGCCCTGCCACGCCCCACAGCGTCCTCTCTGCCCCATGGACATCCCCACCTCCTCCAGCCCTGCCACCCCCATCCTCCTCTCTACCTCTCAGCACCCCCAGCTACTCCAGCTCTGGCCCCCAGACTCCTCTCTGCCCCATGGATCCCCAGCTCCTCCAGCCCTGCCATGCCCCCAACCTCCTCTGCCCCACACACACCCCTGTGTTAGGGTGAGTTTGTAACACGTTTGTAATAAGTTTGCGATAAGTTTGTATTGAGGATTTAGTGTAACAGAGATTTACTCTGGGCTCGATTGGAAAGAAGTGCTATTTTGTTAAGAGCCCACAGCAGGGTTTACGTGGCTGTAAGTGGGAACAGGCCGACCCAAGTGGATTACAGTCTCGAAAGAAGAGGGACGCAGAGCTAACCCTAGCACTGAACCCTCGGCTCAAACCTATGAGAACAGCTCCTGAAAGCTTTTCTTGTTCCAGCCCAGCCTCCACAGCAGGGCCGTGTCTCTCTCCCTGGGGTCTCTGCTTGGTGCCGTGTGCGTAACTGCCCCGTGCCGTGTGCAGCGTCGTGCACCCCTGAGGTCATTTCAGTTTTTGGTGGGAAAACGGGATGGATCTGGTTTTCATCTGCTCCAATGCAGGGCACAATTCAAGATGGAGTCCAGCACAACAAAAATGAAGAGTTCTTTGGTCCTTCCATTTCCCCTCCTTGACTTCGTAGAAGGAAAATTGCCAACATAACAACACAGCAAAGTATAACAATGACAAAGTTAACAATAGGAATATAGAACTTAGATGCAAGGCTGCTCACCGAAATGGAGAAATAATATGAAAACTTACACAGGGCACAACAGGTCAAATTCTTTTATGAATGTTGTGGTCTTTTACATTGGCATATATATACACTTAGTTCCATCATATACAAAAGAACAATAATGTGGAGTAAAATACACAACATCTATTGACCTGGACACTACTGACTGGGATAGCGGGTACGTGCAGAACATATTGACACTCTCCTTGGCCTCTGAGGACAGGACAAGCAGCAAGGGGCTTAAACTGCAGCCAGGGAGGTTTAGGCTGGACATTAGGAAACACTTCCCACCTGCCAGGGGGGTGAAACAGGGGAATCGAATACCTGGGGAGGTTGTGGAATCCCCGTCCCTGGGGATATTTCAGAGCAGGTTGGACAGACGCCTGCCAGGGATGGTTGAGTCCAGGGGTCTCCAACCTTTTTACCTGCAATCCAGGATCCACCTCAAACCCAAATACCCTGCCCTGCCTCCTTTGTGCCCCTTCTCCAAGGCCCCTCCCCAGCTCCCTCCCTCCCCCGTCCTTGCTCCCTTTCATCAGCCAGGGGCAGAGGGTTGGGGTGCAGGCTCTGGTCTGAGCTGAGCCTGGGCCAGGGATTGGGGTGCTGGAGGGGGTTTATGACTGGGGAAGGGGTTCGAGATGCAGGCTCCACCTGGACACTGCTGACCGCAGGGCGCTCCTGCGTGATGGTGCAGGAGACTAAGGCAGGCTCACCCTGCCCTGGCCCTGCCCCACTCCCCAAAGCAACCAGCAAACTCCATCCCAAGGCACGTTGCGCCGCTGTGTTCTGTGCAGCTAGGATACGGGGAGAGAGGGCACCCTGACATCAGCACCCAAGCGGGGGAGAGCGGAGAGCGCCACAGAAAAGGGCAGGAGATGTGCAGCAGTGGGGGAAGGGGCAGCTGAAGTGCCGGCATTTGGCAGCCTCTTGGCCAAACCAGTGAGGATCACCTGCCAGAGGCTCCAAGATGTACCGGTCGATTCCGATTTGTGACCACTGCTCTGTTAAGTGTGGGCTTTGTTGGATCGGGGGCAGGATGCGTATTGCTTTTACTGAGCCCGAAGTAAGAGCAGGCTGGGCCAGAGGCTTGTAGAGCTCTGCGATCCAGGGACAGGTCAGCAGTCCACAAGTGCGTGAGGCGGGCAAGCACATTGTTTAGGGTGGCTGGGTAGATTTAGCTCCAGAGGGAGTAATGGGCTCAGCTTAACCAGTGGAAAGCTGAGTCTGATCCTCGGGGTGATCTCCTCGGGGTTACGTGTGCGGGACTGGGGGCTGTCTCTGCAAGGAATGATGCAGATTCCACTTTCCAACGGCTTTTAAAACCAGCCAGGATGCAGCACTTGCTGCAGTGAGCAAAGAACAGAACAGGCAACCCTCAGGTTATCCCTCCCCGGTCGTCCACTGAGCGATGTTACTTATTTCCCCAGCTTCTTCCTGGGCATGAACATTCCCAATTTCTGCCAGGAACACCAAGTGGGGACCCTGAATCTGGTTCCCTGCTGGGCACAGGTGCAGTGCCTGAGATGAATTTCTTTCCTTGGGCGGGCAAGTGTCCCCACCCCCTGGCGCCCGGCGGGCGAACAGCCACGCCCCCTGGCACCCGCCAACCTGAAAAGGTTGGGACCACTGCGCTAGCCTATTGGCAAACCAGTCAAGAACACCCGTGAGAGGCTCCAAGATCTACTGGTAGATCCCGCTCTCCATGCTGGTGACCAGTGCGTTAGAGACAGCCTTGAGCTAAACATTCCCAGAGACGAGGATCGCCCACGGCCCCGGGTAAATCGTCCCAATGGCTAATTCCGGTCACCAAGTAACTCATGTGCCCTGATTTCCTGCCAGCATGTCTTTACCTTCAGCCTCCAGCCACTGGGCCACCCGACACGCCTGTGTGCTCGGCTGGGAGGCCTGTTCCCCAATGTTGTATCCCCTGTCGGTACCTACGGACTGTTACCAGCTCACCCCTCCCCCATCTTTGTTCAGCTCAGTAGATCGGGCCCTGCAAGGCAGGTTTGAGATATTACCGATTCCTGGGACTCCTCTCTGAGCCTCCCCAATGTCCCCGCCTCCACCTGTGCCCACGGGCACCACAATGGGACATGGGATTGCAGCTGCAGTCGCAGCCGTGCCAATGACAGAGACCCAATCCTGCTCTGCGTGTCCCTGGGAGTCCCTGTGTCAGGTCCCACCCACCGGACCCTTGTGGGGCTGAGTCTGAGCCGGGATCCGGCCCTGCCTCCGGCTGGGGGGTTCCAGCTCCACTCTCGGGTGCAGCCTCCGTTCCAGCCCCTCCCACTGGGAGCGGAGACCTGAGCCCCAAATGCCAAATCCCTGAGCCTGGCTTCAGCTCCCCTCCCCCAGACTCTGCCATTGCCTCAGCGCATCCCTCCCAGAGCTGCCCCTTGGGCGCCCCACGATTCCCGATTCGCTCTTGCGGGTCACATGGTCATTACAGCAAACAGACCGGGGCTCTGGAAAGGGTTTAATAAAATAATTCATCTTCTTTACCCAGCGCAGGTGATACCGAGATCCAGGAAACACAACAGCCCCTGCGCCCCATTGCCCACCTCTGTGACCTACCGCCCTAGGCCAGAGCTCGGAATTCGGCCAGAGCCCTCTAAGGTGTCCAGGGGCCTCCTCCTGCAAGTCCTGGCTTCTCCCCCAGCCAGAGTCTGTCCCTGCTGCACCCACAGCCCTGCCCCAGAGTCCCCTCAGCCGCCCTCAGGCCTCTCTCCTGCCCCAGCGTCTTCTAGCTCCTCCGGTCACTGTGGTTTTGAAGGGCTGGACCAACCCTCCTCCCTCTGTGCCCTCTTCTAGGGAGGTACCGTCCCTCCCCCCCTGCCCCTCTGCAGAGACCCTGGAGGAAGCTGGTTCGATCTCGACTGCAGTGACTCCTTTCTCGTGTCGGCTGAGAGCTCACTAATTGCTGGGAGTCGTTAATGTGCAGCCTGTTCATAGACAGATGCCCCACCCCAGCCTCTGGCCTCGGGGCGCAAGGTGAGAGAGGGAAGGGTGCTGGAAAAGCCCAAAGACATGAGGTACCGATGGTTCACGCACCCCAACGCGAGTCACTGGGGCTCCCTCCTGTCTGCTTGTACCCGGACAGTCTGGGGTTCTCTGCCCAGGTGCCTTCCACAAGGCTCCTTGTCAGGCTGCAGCAGCTCCTATCCCAGCCCTGGAGCCGAGGGGTCCCACACGGGAGGGGAACGAGGTGGAGACCACCCAGTGAGTGGGGGGTGGGGAGGAAAGGAGTGAGTGACAGTGAATGGTCCATGGGGAGAAGGGGGCTGGGACATCATGGACCAAGGAACCTCTAGGGTAAAAGCAGAGCAGGGCCGAGCCTTGGAGGAGGAGGTGAGAGATGGCGGGAGACCTCACGGGTGCAGTAAATAGCAATTGGAAAGGCAGCAGCCGGGTGCGTTTTTATAGTAGGAAGCCCAGTTTCCCACACGGATGCAGAATCGTTAGGCCAGGGAGGGTCAATGTCTCTTTGATTGCCCAGTTGGTGATTCAGCGAGTCCGGGAAGAGGGCCCAGCACCCCGCCACCAGCCATCTCTGCTTGGAGCTCAGTCGAAGAGCCCTTAGGTCCCTCTCTGAGCAAAGACCCGCAGCAGGCTGTCCCGGATCTGCTTGGTCCTCACCCCGTAGATGATGGGGTGCAGCATGGGGGGCACCAGGAGGTACACATTGGCAAAGAGAATGAGGAAATACAGGGGCACATTGTGGCCAAACCTCTGTGTGAGGGAGGAGAATATAGGTGGGATGTAAGAGACTAAAATGACAGAGAGGTGGGAGCCGCAGGTCCCAAAAGTCTTGATTCGGGCGTCCTTGGTGGGCAGGCGGAAGATGGCCCTGAGGATCTGGGCGTAGGACACGGAGATGAGAAACACATCCAGAACCGTAATAATCAGCGCCAGAAAGAGGCCGTAGTAACTACTGATTCTGGTGTCAACACAGGACAGCTTCAACACGGCAATGTGCTCGCAGTACGTGTGGGCGATGACGTTGGTTCTGCAATACGGCCACTGCCTCGCTAGGAAGGGATGAGGCAGCAGGAGGATGCAGCCACGCAGCCCCACGGCCAGGCCGATCTTGGCCACCACCGAGTTTGTCAGGATGGTAGAATGTCTCAGGGGATGGCAGATGGCCAGGTAGCGATCCAACGCCATGGCCACGAAGATCCCAGACTCCATGGTTGAGAAGCTGTGAACAATGTAGAGCTGGGCGATGCAGGCACTGAAATTGATCTCCCTGCCATTGAACCAGAAGATGCTCAGCATTTTGGGCACGGTGCACGTGGACATGACCAGGTCGCTGACGGCCAGCATGCAGAGGAAATAGTACATGGGCTCATGGAGACTCGGCTCCCTCTTCACGAGGTACAGGATGGCGACGTTCCCCAACACACCTATGACGTACATGGTGCAGAAGGGGATGGCGATCCAGACGTGGGCTCCCTCCAGGCCAGGGATACCCTGCAGGATGAAGGTGGAGGGGTTGGTGAAGTGAGTCATGTTGGAATCTGACATGGAGTACAGCAGAAGGAGAACGATATCTCCTGCATGTACCGCACGTTTCCCTGAGTCTCTGTGCTCTCGCTCTCAGGGGGTGCTCACCACAGAATTGCCTGGATGGAGAGACAAAGTTACTGTGAGACAAGTCACATGCTATTGGAGGGGTTCCCATGGGCGAAGCAGACTGGTTCATGGAGGTTAGGTCCATAAAAGGCTATTAGCCAGGGGATAAAATGGTGCCCCTGGCCTCTGTCTGTCAGAGCCTGGAGAGGGATAGCAGGAGACAAATCACTTGATCATGTCTTTGGTCCACCCTCTCTGGGGCACCTGGTGCTGGCCACTGTCAGCAGACAGGATACTGGGCTGGATGGACCTTCGGTCTGACCCAGTACGGCCGTTCTTATGTTCTTATGTCTCTCTTCACCCACCCTCCCCCAAAGCTTACAACACGGGCTCGTGGGAACCGAAGTGCTGAACTCAAAGGTGCTTTGGACAAATGGGCTCGTGTAACCTGCCACCCTCATGTCCTAACCCGCTGGGTCTGTATCTCACGGTGTGTGCGTCGCTCCGGTGTGGAGAGCGAGAGCTCTGGGGTGTGGGATGCTTTGTGGTTCTGACGGTGCAAAGGAAAGCCATCACGGGGGTTTCCAATGCTGGATGCCTCAGTGTCTGGGCAATGATAGGTAAATAGCCTTTTGTCCTTCAATCTTCGCGTGGCTGGTCCTAGGAAGTCACATGACCTCCCGAAGAGGTAGGGACTGGCCAGGTAACTTCCCATGCAAAAGGGGGAACTAGCAGCTCTTTGTCTTTGGCTGGCTGCACACACCCCAGAGAAGGATCCAGAGACCCCAGGGAGAGAGAAACGTCCCTGCTGTGGAGGCTGGGCTGGAACAAGAAAAGCTTTCTGGGCGGTTCTCATAGGTTTGAGCCGAGGGTTCAGTGCTAGGGTTAGCTCTGCGTCCCTCTTCTTTCGAGACTGTAATCCACTTGGGTCGGCCTGTTCCCACTTACAGCCACGTAAACCCTGCTGTGGGCTCTTAACAAAATAACGTTTCTTTTCCATGAAGGGCGGAGGGATCGCTCAGTGGTTTGAGCACCAGCCTGCTAAACCCCGGGCTGTGAGCTCAATCCCTGGGGAGGCCATTTGGGGCAAAAATGGATCAGGGCTGGTACTTGGTCCTGCTGTGAAGGGAGAGGCCTGGACTCAGTGACCCTTGAGTCCCTTCCAGTCCTAGGGGATAGGCAACCTCCATTTAAAAACAAAAACTCCCAGAGTAAATCATTGTTACATTCAACGCTCACTTCAGACAATACAAACGCACTCTAGCACTGGGGCTGCGTGTAGACTACGTCCCTTTCCGTAAAAGGGATGTAAATGAGACGTATCGCAATTGCTAATGAAGCGGGGATTTAAATCCCTCTTGGGATAAGGGATCTTTCGGAAAAGGCTTTATTTCCTGCAAGATCCGCGTCTAGACTCGGTGCAAAAAAAAGGCGGCAGCCATTTTTATGCTAATGAAGCGCGGGTGATTTAAATCCCTGTTTCATTAGCAATTGTGATACATCTAATTTACATCCCTTTTACGAAAAAGGGATGTAGTCTAGACGCAGCCAGGGAGTGTTCATGGAGCAGAGAGGAGTTGTTGGGGCGTAACTGTGCTGTGGGGTAGATAGGAGGTTGGAGTGGGGCAGGCCTGGAGGAGCTGGGGGTGCCGTGGGGCAGAGAGGAGGCTGTGAGGCGGGGCAGGGCTGGAGGAGCTGGGGTGCCGTGGGGCAGAGAGGATGCTGTGGGGCAGAGCAGGGGGTCTCACACACGTGAGAGGCTGCCGGAGGGAAGCGGGGGGAGCTGCTCTCTCCTGCTGCTGGGCAGGGCGGGGCAGGGCTCTCCCTGCAGCGGGGCAGGTGCAGAGGGAATCTCAGGAAACGCTTCCTGCATGTGGAACAGGAGCCCCTGGAGCAGCCACAGAGCGAGCGGAGCAGAGAGCTGAGCCCAGGGGAGTCGCACGCGGACGAGTCTGTCGCTGGGCTTCTGGCACCACCTTTGGTTAAGGGCGAGTGGCCACTTCACATAAACCACCTTGTTTTCTGGCCCCATCTTGCACCTTGAGGGATCCTCTGGGCGACTGAAACGCCACCACCTCCGCCCTGGGGACCATTGGCCTGAGCGGGTGGGAACAGCAAAGGGGCATTTTAGTTAGTGACACAGGAGCAAACTCCTCCCCAGCGGGGCAGGGCCTGGGATGTTTTGTGGCTCTGCAGAGCGCAAGGGGCCCAGACTGACTCTGCCCCTCACACCCACGCTGCCCTGGGGCTGGGGGGCAGGGGAGCCCTCGGCCAGAGCTGGTACCTGTGAGTGCTGAGAGGGACGTGTCTTCCCTGGAACCCCCCTCAGGCAGCCGCGTCCCGCACCTCTCTCAGCCCAGCGTCTGCAGCAGCGTCCTGCGCCGAGAGCCGGCACAGGGCTGGGCCCTGGTTATAACCCAGCTCTGGGCCGTCCCGGGGGGCCATGCAGCCTGTGGGGGAGAAGCAGCATCTGGATGCGAACAGGCTGGGGAGAAGCTGTTGGTGATTCTGTGCTAATTACCCAGCAGTTGGAGTAAACAGCAATTAAAGGCCCTTCCCAAAGGGGAGGAGAACGCCTGGGCTCCGGGTTGCATGAGAGAGGACTTGGCTGCTCTGTGAGTGGATATTTAATAACTGTACTTCGTTAGTAAGAACCCTGGGGCTCATGTGAGCTCTGCCCAGGCCTGACTCCGGGTCAGTGCCCAGTTGGGACGGGTGGACAGCCAGCCGGCAGGTCTGCAGACAGGTGACTGGGGGGAGACACAGACACTGTCTGGAGGCACACGGGGCTGTCCCTCGGGGACCAGAGATCAGTGACTGTCGCCAATAACTACCCTGCACTGGCCAGAGCCTTTCACTGGAGGAGTCTCCAAAACAGCCAGCAAGGGAAAGTCACGAGGATCATCTCCCCATTACACAGATGGGTAAACTGAGGCACAGAGAGACGTGACTTGGTGAAGACCACACAGAGAATGATGGAGAGGAGCCAGGACTCCTCATTTTCCCTGCCTTAAACTACTGACCACTTCTGGCCTCCTTCCCGCCCGTTCCCCTTTGCCCCTTAGAGCAATTGAGCAGAGGGAAATGGACGCGGAGTGTAGCTGTCCCTGCTCATTGGGTGGCTGGGCCAGACTTCCCTGGGGTGCAGCCTGGAAGTTGGGTACCCCGAGTCCTCTGGCATCGCAGCCTGGGCCCCCGCCCGCAGGGTGGTGGGGAACCGCAATCCTCTCCCTGCCCCGCCCTTGAAAGTAGGAATAAGAGATCCTCCAGAAAAGGCTTTATTTTCCGGAGAATTACGTCTAGACTGACGCTTTTCTCCGGCTTATCTCCAAGCCGGAAAAAAGCGGCAGCCATGTTAATGCAAATACTGCGGGGGATATTTAAATCCCCAGTGGATTTGCCTATTCCAAAGTGCTACATTAGCATCCCTTTTCCAGAAGGGATGCCAGTGTAGACACAGCCGGAGGGTGTTACCCTCAACTCTTACACAATCTCTTTTGTCCGTAGGGCTGCGCAGTGGGTGGTCGGGAGGGACCTCAACTCCTTAACAAAAAGAACAGGAGAGCAGGGGCTGGGGTCTTTTGTCTGGGCTGCATCTGAGGGAAGATGCCGAAGACCCCAGGAGTGGGGAGGGGAGAGACAGGCCTGGTTTGGGGGGGCGGCTGGGGAGGAGGTTTCTGGGGGAGTGTGACGGGTTTGTGCCGAGGTGTCAGTGTCGAATTAGCCAAGCGGTTTTGTTTCTTCTGATTTGTAACCGACTCTGCTCGGCCTGTTCTCGCTTATCACCACGTCAACCCCACTGCTGGTACTTAATACAGTCACTCGTGTTTCCTACCAAACCCGGTGTAAGTAACTGTTACTGGGGGGCCAGTGGGCACATTCCCTCGTTCATCGCTAGACGTGCTGTGGTCGACAAGGAAGCTGTTGTCGACCGGCGCAGCTATGCCTTGTGAAAAGAGGTTTACCTGCGCCAGTCGACAAAGGCGTTTAAACTGCCCCGATCTGCCGACATTTCCCTCGGCTTCATTTCCCTGTGCCGGGCAGCCTAATCTACACGCCTCTGTCGCCAGAGGCATGTAGTCTAGACAGACCCTTCAACACGCCTGGTAAAGCAGCTCCAGGTGGAACAATGCCAAGCGCCAATCCGGGACGCCTGGGCCATCCGGGAGACTAATACATTCCAACTGAGCTGCCTGCAGACTGTACCTGCGCTGGTCTAGCTCGTGCCCTTCGGACAGGCCTAAGTTGCAGACGGTGCACTGCCCTGGCTGCTCCCCGGAGGCCATACTTGTAAGTTAATAACTAAGCTTGTGGGGGACCTGCCTTTCGATCTCCCCGTAGCACGACTGGTGGAACAAGGCCCTGGGCCGTTAGAGCCAAGGTCTCCAGCCAGGTACCCCGCCAGCCAGAGGGCGGCTGGGCCCATCTTTGAAAAAGAGTGGGGGAGTGTTGGGCTTTGTCAATGAGTCGGGGTCTGGGACAGCTGGACGCTGGGGGTTAAGTGCAGCCCCAGTATCACCCCGAACATGTTTTCTCTCTTTGTTTCTGCAGCCTGGAATAACAGAGATTCCTGCAGCTGCTCTTCTCTGTTGCAGCTTTTCCTTCCCCTCCCCGGCGCTTCACGCAATATTGGCAGGGCCGCATCTCTTGTCATTTCTGTAACCTGCTGATTTGGGAAGATCGTGCTGATTGAATTAGAAATTCTGCAACTAGTCACTAGGGGCGGGAATAATAATATTCACCACCTGCCTAGTAATAGTCACTGTATGGGACTTAACATTCCCGAAGAAGGGTTTACGGAAAGCAGTGACGGCCGTGGGAATGAACACACTGCAACAGATAAAGGGGGTGATTGGTGCCAGGTTTTGCCCCTCGGCCGTTGTGCTGAATGCGCGTTCCTTTTCCCCTGCCACTGCTGGGGCACCTGGTTCTTCTCTAGCACCCCCACCAGTCCCATT